TCTCAGGATGATTGTCAAAATGTTGTAAAATACGATTCCCTGCCTGCAAATCTCTTCGTAACGCTGCTTGAAATCGGTTGTTTTCTTGTCGAATTGAAAATGTTCCAGTCTCTCGCAATCTATTAAATGTCAACATAAACACTCTTCGGTTTGGCACTCTTCTGTTTGGAAATCGTCGTGCATATTCTCGCACCGCCTTTAAAGCATTACCGTTGCAGAAACCGTATACAAAAACCATATCAGCATATTCACTATTAGAATACGTACGCGGCATATTGCAAAAGACAAAATTCATCTACTGTTAAAGGCTTTCAAAGAGCGACTGACAAATTCATAACAGAAAGTGGAAAATGTAATCAAATATGTCGGTGCTAGATATGGCAAGAAATGTAAACATTTTTTTTCGATTTCTCTGAAACGGAGCAAAAACGAGCATATGTCTATAGGACTTTTTTTCTTAGTTTTTTACTCCTCTACACGCTCCCGAAGTTTTGCCATTTAATTTGGAAACACCCTGTATATATAAAAACACTATTTGTGTTTTCTTCTCGATAGTATAACTTTATTATATCGCAAGTATAAATCATCTGAGTACAAGAAAACAATTTCCAAATTCCTATGGAACCTAAGCGATCGATGACTTGAAAATATCACACAGCTCTTGGTTACGTCTTCTTTAAATTCCTTTTATCAGATTTACTGAGAGTATGGAATTCCATGGCTTGCTCTCTTTCAAGTCGATCTTTGCTATTTTTAAATCGTCAATGATAGTGATCATTGTCCAAACAGATTTTCCGATATTATAAATTAATATCAATATCCGCCACTTTCTAATAATACTTTTTAATTTATGATATATTTATAAGCCAAATAATACTTTCGAGAATTTTACAGTGAATATTGGGCTTGTAAATGGTGAAATATCACATTTATAACGAACATCAAGTGGTTAAAATATTAAATGGCCGATAATTGTATCATTTATCTAAAAAGTTAATTTGTGCCAACATCCATTCCATGATATATATCATTAAACATTTCAAAAATTTACAGCGGATCGGCGAGTCATCAGCTCTCGGCGACCGCACTGTTGGGTAGCCCTGATGGATCGAGACATCCACTCGATGTCTGCGAATTCACTGAAGAGGATTATCGACATCAAAATGGAAACGGTAATAACGGTCATTACCAAAATGGCAGATCGGGCACTGGTATATGGGAATGTCTCGTAAGCTGCAGAAAGCGGCTCGATCAACAATTAGCACGAAGGAGGGTAAGCATCTCATGAGGTGTATTTACTCTTTTTAGTTCTCGTAGAACAAATGGAAATGAATGATTAAATTTAGTAGATATATATGATATGACGTAGACATTTTCAATATGCATATAAGAGTTTTACTACAAAATTACATCTGATGATTAATTAGATAAATTATGAAAAGATACATATCGAGCTTTTAATTAAATTGATATATTAAGCTTTTAATTATGTTAACATTTTAAGCTTTTAATTTAATTAAATGCGTTAAATTAGTGCTGTAACAACTAATTATTTGATGAATATGAAACAAGTTATAAAAATTATTGGATTTTTGTTATATATTTTATTACAATAACAAATTACTAATATGAATAATTAAGTGAAATATTACACAAATGCATCAGATGTAAATATCACGTCTGCAATAGATATAAACATCGCTATTATTTATCATGTTTTAATGTACGTTTAATTTCTATTCAAGTATCAATTTATTAATAAAGCTCTTACTTCGAAATGAGTGCCAAATGTTTTATCTCGAAACGCAAGAGGCGATTATAATTTTAGACAAACACGCTTAGAAGCAGAATTGGCTGCACGCCACGATAACACTTACGGAATTATTAATGATCTTATAAATTAATTCAATTATAATTGATTCTTTAACTGTTACTCGACTATTAACCATTGAACCCATTTAATATGTCAAAGCTATCGAGGGTGTAATATATCAAACGAGTAACAGTATCTGAGGGTCCTCTCAGCAAACGACGGGGCATGACGGCTACATAACGAAGCGTATTTCGCGGACGAGCATGCTTTATCGGTCACTGTCAAGTTCACGATGTGCATGCCGTAGCTGCGGTCACGCTATCCTTTCGTAACCACTAAAACCAAAGTACCGGTCATACTGTGTTTACCGTTCTGGATGCGTTTCACTCAGAGAAACTTATGATTTCGCATCTGGCGTCTGACAGCTTATTCATGATGCCTGCTTCATGTAGTAACAAGCGTAATTTACGTTTACGTTTTCATCAAAGCTACACGATATCTCAATCAATATACTATAAAGTTTACGTTTTCATTGAAGCTACACGATATCGAAAGATGTGTAAAAAAAGTATAAAATGTATATTATTAGATCACGTTATTCATGGAAAAATTCATCAAAATTTATAATATTGTCTTTTTTAGTTTCTATACAAAACAGCTGTAAAAATTTAATGTCTTGTTACATTTCCGTAATTGCTACAATTTTAATAAATTATTAAACCAGTTTTAAAGAATTAATAATATTTTAATGAAGAGAGAGAGAGAGAGAGAGAGAGAGAGAGAGAGAGAGAGAGAGAGAGAGAGAGAGAGAATTGTCTCAAGGATAACTGATGATAAATTCTGCTTCTCTTTAGTTAATAATGTTAATGATTACAAGAATTAAAATTCATTCAAGTAATCTCGTGTGTAACTTGTTCGGTTTTTTTTATTAGGACCATTAATACTGTTGTTTATTAGTATTATTACTACTTTGTTTTTAAGATCACATTTTTCGATGCTTTGCAAGAGATTGCCAAGATTGTGACAAATGAACAAGTTCGTATATCAGTTCGTTTCGTTGGGTATATATATGTCTATAATGTTTATAATGAACAAGAATTTGCCTCGGTCGTGTACACGCATGTAGATATATTTTTATGTGCCTTACGAGACTATTTATATTTTATTGTAAAGTTTAATCTACCGGGGACAAAGTTCATGGCCAAATCGATACGGCCTTCTACCTTTGCCCGTATTATCTACGCTTGGGTTATTGCTGCGTGATAAAAACCATAATACGTACCGTGACTTCTTCTTCCTGGATAAGGAAGTTATTTATCATTTGAAGCCTGTTTTACAAGACTTATAATTGAATAATATTGTTCAATGTAAATATAAGTTTATCTACTAAGTGACAATTCAAGTAAATTCAGTATAAAATACTGAAGTATTCAATATATAATATATAAAATACTGAGTTCTATATTTTACTCTCTGTCTCAATTACATGATATACCTAATTCCGCTTTTAACGTATGCGTTATGGATTAATTTTTATATAATTCTAGTTATACGAAATATTTAGTTTTATAGTAATAATTAAGCAATTCAATTAAATAATGATTTAAAACTTTTCCCTTAGAAAATTTAAAAAAATATAAAGAAAGTTCACGGAACATCTTTCACCCACTTCATTTAATTTATTATATAAATCGTTTTTTGCAATAATATCCAATCGCAAAAATAAAGATTAATCAATTAAAACCAAATTAAGATAAAAAGATTTTATTACTTGTAAAAAGTACCTATTTATTTTGCTTTTCTACAAAGTCACTGATTTTTTTCTAGATACTTTTTGTATCGCCGTAGTTTTTTTGTGCCTTCTGTATAAAAATCCGCCGCCTGGGATGGTCTGTTTAGTACAGTTGTTTTCAACTCTTCATTCTTCTCGAAACGTTGAAAACCAAGCTTTACATCTTGAGATAAATAAAACCGTGGGATGTGTTGATATAAGGAACCATTCACTTTCATGACAATAGTGTGAACGCTCTGTAGCTTACACAATGCAAAAAGTTTAGCAGTGTTCAAATGAAAAATTTTCGAATATCTCCTGTACTTTGCATACTTTGCACCAACTGAATTTCACATTTTCCTTCCTCTCAAAAAGTCGCTTGGTTTTCAATGATTCGAAGAAAGTGAGAAGTTGAATTGAAAGCAGCAATGCTGAACTTCCGGGCGACACATTTTTATGCAAAGAGCGTAAAAAATTTGTGCTAAAAAAAAGTTTAGAAAAAAAACGGTATATAGAACGACTATGTAGAATACGTATGTAGATGTTTATTTATCAGTAATAATAGTCTAGTAAGTCTTTTTATTTTATAATTGAATTTTTTTACTAACTAAGCAACGCTTCATTTTAAAACACGCTTTACACAATGCCCTTTTTGAAACATTCTCTTTAAAAAAAAAATGTTAAATTTTTGATACTTCTTTTTGAAAGAATTATATATGAATTATATAATATACAAAATTATATGTAAAAGCTACATATTGTGCTCCGTGAAATTACGTGTTGTAAATTATAAACAACGAGCTTTACAATCATTGTTTATTATCGTCTATTAATATTGCCTGTATTAATGGGGTAATTTCCTCTTTGGTTTGCCCACATGCTCTTGAACATTGCATCTCCGCTTAAGAGGGCCGTTATTAACTCAATGTCAATTTCATGAGCATCGATTCCAAGGTCTCGTTAGTCGTGCAGCCTCTATAGTTGATATGAGGAAATGTATTAGATATCCGATAAATAGTCCAGGTACAAGGACTCGGCGGAAATTCAAGGACTTATCGAAATAAGATGTTAAATCACGCGATGTAAATTTCATAGATGAATAATTTTAAAAAAAGGATAAATGATTAATTTTATTTTCTTTCCCATGGCGTTTGAGCTCGTTCTTTAACACCCTTTACCAAGCTGATCGTTGCGCGATAAATAAATCAGCACGTGCAGTGAATAGGACACGTGCTGAAATTTCATTATTTTTGACGCAGGTGGAGCAAGGCTTAAAATTGTACAGGGCTCATAAACAACAAGCCGCGGTTAGAAAATGGAGGGGCGCCTTGAAGAGTATCAGACATCGCGAGGATAAATTCGCTCTTCTCGGTTACTTGTATCAAGCGTATATGGATTGGGGCAAATACAGGTAGATCATAGCATAAGTTGTAATATTTTTTCTAGTTTTTTGTCATCTTTGTTTGCACTATTTGCACATACGTAAAGTGAAACGTGTTTTCGCGTTATTAAAAGTAATCTAGAAATAAACAAGAGTAAGGAAATCAAACCGGATACTTATTTTCATATAAAAAGTATATACATATAAGTAGATTACGATATATTATTAAAAATTAATACACACATTATATGTATAAGATTATCCAATATCTCGTTTAAAAGTAGCGTTAGTTATCCAATTTTATAACTATTTTTATCTCCTTTTCCTCTTTACAAAGTTGTTGCCCCTTCCAATTAAAGCCGCGATTCTTCCATCGTGTAATTTTTCTCCTTTCAGAGATAGCATCGAATTCGGTAACAAGCAATTATGCATTTCGGAGGAATTGGATTCGCCGAACATGCGGGCAGAAGCGTATTTAAACTTGGCCAGAGCTCATGAGAGATTAGGCGCCCTGGATAGAGCATTAGATTACGCTCGGCACAGGTTTGAACCTCTTTCATTCATCATACAGCCTATGTAAACGATGTAATGTCAATTTTCAAGAAACCTAATATGCGCGTGTAACGTACAATGTATCTATATTTGTCTGCTATTATAACACAGTCAGTAGTTATTGATAAAACGTCGATATACAAGAAATGCATCTAATGAGCAACCTCTGATTACGAACTCAGTGGTGACAGTTCTAAGTTTGAGAAGAGCTAATCGAGTCCTTTGTAATCAATAGCCGAATGTGACGTCAATTGTTTAAGCGATGATTTGACTACCTACGTGTGTATGTGTGTATTGTGCTAACATCTATAATTTTGCATTCTCGCAGCTTGTATAACGAGTGCGATCAGTGCGCGACTGCTGGATTAGTTCACTTAACCGTAGGCAGAGTCCACTTAGAGCTAGCAGGATTCTGTAAAGCCTTGGAAGCATTTCAAAGAGCCCACAAAATCGCCCACTCCATTCAAGATCCCTCCTTAGAATTGCAGGTAATTAGGTCCCTATGTTTGCTAGTTTTCTTCTTTCGCACGAGTACACAAGCGCGCATTATTGTCGTATTGTTTGTTAATTAAAAGCGCAGGAACGATTAGAAAAGCAGCAGTTATGTCTTGCGAGATGAACTGAGCTCGTTTTTCATATCGCCTGATCTTTATTTCATTTCTTGAATAGTCAGTTAGCTGCATCCTTAATTCACTTGTTCGTGTACTTGACGCTATCTGGATACTCGAGTATATCAATTCTTTCTGTGATGATTAATATTTCAAAAAATAGTATAAAAAATTCTATTTTGTAACGTGTGTAATGAATTCATAATGAAGCATTCTTTGTTGTGTATTTCTGTTTTTATAATACTGATATCTAGTGCTGGTGCAATAAAGAATTTCTCTTCTTTCTTTTATAAAATATGTTCGAAGGCTCATATGATTTTTTTTTATTGGTAATCTCTTGGTCTATCCGTCTAGGATAGTGGATTCGTACATCGATTACGTGCAATTTTTTTTTCCAGGTATACGTCGGTCTATCGGAACTTTTCTGCAGATTACAGGACGCGGATAAGAGCGCAAGATACGCGGCGAGAGCTTACGATCTTTCCAGAAGTTTACAGCTGGGAGATCTGAATTCGCGTCACCATAGGGCGGCGTTATTACAAATGGCCGCGGCGCTCAGGAAAAAGGGCGAGCTTGGAGACGCTCACGATTACTGTTCGGTAAAGTTCTAACTTAAAATTTCTCAAGAGAAGAAAAGAAAGAAAAAAAACTTACGTCGTTCAGATCAAAGAAATTAGCGCAAAACTGTATTCTGTTAAACAATCTAAATCAAAACATTTCTTAGAAAATATTACAAACTTTTTCACAAACGTTAATTTTTAATATCTCGCAATTCTTTCTTCTCAATCGATAATACGTGGGTGGTACAAGTCAAACCGGGACTTTTATTCTCATTAACATAAGAATAAAAGTCCCGGTTTAACTTGAACCACCCACGTATATGCGTGCTTTGTCAAAAATATTAATATCTTTGAAGAAAAAAATCCATGCAAGTCGCGTCACGTAATTCATAGGGGATGTTTCAGAGAAGATTGTATTGGTTAATCAATACCATGCACAATAATATACGATTTAACCGATCAATTGTCGTTTACACATTATGTACAGGAGGCAACACGGCTATCGCTAGTTTCTGGTGACCAGGCCAGTTACGCTCGAAGCATCCGTATTATGGGAGACATTTACAGAAAGAAATCGGATATAAATGTGAGTAATTCTTATTAAGTTATCAGTATGTCTTTCTCTTTAGCTTTCAAATTAAATTTTTTAATAGTGATATCGCAAATGATAATATTCTTTACCTCATTCTTTTTTGATCATATTAATAACAGATATACAATTATATAAATATATGATTCTTATGCATAAAATTTATTCTAAAAGTTATTCTACAATAACAGTTTGAGGCTGAAGTTTTTTCTTTTTAAAATATTTATATGTAAAGATTGAAATGCGTGATCATGCAATAAAAAGTATCAATATATTTATTTGCATACTGCAAAACGTTTCAATAGATAGATTTTTATCGGCATTCACGTCAAGTACTATGATGCTATCAGAACCATTCACAGCCTCATTGTTCGTTCCAACATTGTTACAGTACTGTCATCGGCGATAAAAAAATGTTATAACTGGAGCATTCCTTTGCATGTCACGCATGTTACAAAAACGACTTTAACACTGTATCACGCTTGCAGTGCATACCGCTTTCGTTTTGTTTTGTTGCTACAAAATTCTTTGAACGTTGTTAAAAAGTGAGTGAAAATTTTGAAAACATCCACTTTCGAACAACGCAAAATATTGAAGGCGTGACATTTGTGTACGTAGTAAAATATTTAATTAAGATTTTGAAACATTTCTATAAAAAAATATACATAAAAAGATATATTTAATGTCTTACGTTCATATTATGTAGGGTGAGTCAAAATACACGATATAATCAGGGGATTCAAAATAAGCTGAAATAATAAAATAAATTTTTTTTAAGATCCGTTTTTGAGAAAAAGGATTTCGAAATTATTCTTGTATTTGAAGAATGAAAAAGAAAGAATATTAGAAACCATTATAATTTAATTCGCAGAATACAATTCTCAATTCTGTATATGACAAAACGGCTGACACTTTCAACAATATATATCTCTCAACTTAAGAAATATTTAAGAAATAAAATTATTCTTCATCTCACACAAATTCATTCGGTTATCTTAAGCGTCAATTGATTGACATTGGAATAAAAATAATGAATAAAATTATTAATCAAATTATTAATCAAGTCATATAATTTACTAAATTATTGCGTTATAATGTTTTAAGAACATCATATATTAAGCTTCCATCTACCCTAATAAATAAATCCATGTAATAATTATGTATATCTATAGTAAAATTAGCTTCATTTGCTGCTTGCGCGAATGCCATATATGATTGCGCTTTTGAGCGATAGAAGCTGCCTGTTGAATTTAATGTCTGTCTTTTAGTTGGCGATCGCGATGCATATACAATTAGCCTTTAGTTCACGCATCGCGTACGCCGGTCCGCTTATCAGAACGATAACATCGGTGAGATAAAGATGGATGTTTTGCAGAAAGCATTCCGACAGTACGAGAGCGCGATGGGCTCAGCGGCTGCGACCGGTGATCGACTGTGCCAGATGGAAGCGATGGACGGCGCGGCGAGATGCCTCGAAGTTCTAAGGCTTCAGCACAAGATATGCAATTGCAGACCCCTCGAGTTCAATACTAGGCTCCTGGAAGTGGCGGGATCGGTTGGCGCCAAGGTAAACTGTCAATACAGATCGCGGATTGTGATGCACGTTCGTTCGATTTCACGTGAAATAGAGAGAAAGAGAGACACAGAGGGGGAGAGAAAAAATCAGAGGAGAGCGATGTGAAATCAATTTCCCTCCCTTTCGCCAGACGTGAAAACTTGAGAGTTTTTGTCTTTTCTTTAGTCCTCGGGGATCAACGAAATTCGAAATAAATACAGTAAAGTTTCTTTGTTTGTTGATTTGCGACGAATCGAATGTGCTGAAAGGAAAGTTAATTCCACCGATTTTATGAATTAATAAAATTTCATCATATTCTTTATCTCAAGATAATTTCGTTATAATCGAAGACAACTCTAATTTGAAGATAAGATTGAAGATCTTCACACTGAGAGAAAACAAAATAGTTCCAGCAACTATAAATTTGGCAACTTTTGCAATTGAAGTACCTGTAACTAGTTTTACAAAGTAATAGAAATTAAAGTAGTGCTGAATATTATAAAAATATAGTCACGGTAACAAATTGTATGCACTATTATATTAATTGGTAGTGAAGTAGTGACTCAACTACATTGAGTAGTTACTTGGACTTCATGCAAATAGATATAACAATTACATTTTTCTAGTTTAGACAAAAATTTTTAAAGTGTCGCTCAGTACGAGTAGTAAGCGGCTTTGTCACCAGAGGAACGTAGCGGAGTTCAGTTTCTCCTTAAGAAGGAAACCACTCGCTTACAATAAAAGGTGCAGCGTTGATTTCAAACTTGGAAGACAAAAATAAATAAGAAATGCATACACAAATTTGTAACTATGTATTATAAAGCTTTAATAAGAACAATAAGTAAATTAAGTGAACTAAGAAAATATAGTAATATTAACCATTTATAAATTGTTTATATGGTTAATGTACTATATTTTCTTAGTTCACTTAATCTAGTATTCTTATTAGGGTTTAATAATATGTATATAGTTGAGGCGCTATTTCACTACAAATTTATAGTTACTGATACGACTTTTTTCTCTCTGAGTGCACCGCTGAGATTATATATTATTTAAAATAGGATTTTTAAGTTGATAAATTTTGAACAAGAGCATCAATAATTGAAAAAGCTACGACTGAGGATAGACACGGATGCTTTGCATGCATTTATTTATCTATACATCTAACAATAAAGACTATCATGAGTTCCAATGAAATACCAAAAGAGCTATCGGCATTACAATGCCGCTGGTACGTCGCACAAGTATTCCATGTGCATATATTATCATACTCACACTACGGGCATCGAATCTTCGCGCTATTTGTGTCTACGAATCAATGGAGCCGGCTTTCCATTTTGACGTTGTACACGCAACCAATAACGTAAAATATACAGCTCGGTGTTGTCCAAGATTCAATAAAGATTATTGTTAATCTGTGAATTAAAACGATAACGTATTTCGCTATTCATAATTTATTATCGTATCCCTTCTACATACAATAAACCAAGGATTAACCGAAGAATAATTCAAGTTCTTACTCTAAAAAAATGTTAAATTCTTCCTCAAAAGGAAAAAAGAAAAGAAACAAAGATATCCCTAATAATATTCTAATGCTACTAAAAATGTCAGTATATCACTTGACAAACTTATATAATTTTCAGTGCGAGAAAAATATGTGTTCAAAATATAAGATTACGAGAATCTGATTATTTACAGCTTCTGGTGCGAACAGTCAGGTCCAGATTGTCGAAAATTTATGGGTCTTTGGGAGACGAGGAACAAAAGGGACATTATGAGAGATTGGCGACTGCGATGGAGGAAGATTTGGAGTTACGATGCGGAAGCTGCAACGAACCTTTCGGTCTGGAAGCTGATTCCCTGGAAGCATTACCTTGCTCTCACATATTACACGCTCGGTAAGACACGCGGAAAAACTGGACTATTTTTCTGTTAAGAAACAGAATTAAAACAAGAATCAAGTATAATGTTGTGTAAAATTTTAATTGCCAATTCGATTTTCTTTCGAAAAACTATTTTTACTATTTTTATTTTCTCGTGCAACATACATTTGGCAGATGCGCATATGACATCTTGAAGAGACGTGACAAGAAGAAGAAACGTTTATGTCCCGATTGCCACAAGTCTGTCAGTTCACGGCTGTACCTGCATTGCGAAGATCCTCATGGCATGAATACTCTAAATCATAGTTCCTTGAGCCTGGCGTCATTGAGGGCCAGCAGCCTAGCAACACTTGAGGACTGTCATGCGACGAGTAGTGTTTAAAAAAAAAACACGCGACATATTTCGTTTATTTTAACGCGTTGGTATCCGCATGCGATTAGATAATTTTAAGGAACCATAATGTGGAAGATGAGAAAGCCAAAGGAAAGTAGTACGATACAAAAAGATTTAATGGCAATAAAAAGTGCACGCCTCGATCCAGATTGTTGAATACAATTACTTCCCCTCTTTCCCAACAAATCTGTCGTATGATTTTATTATCTATATAAAATAATCAAAGCAACTAGACGTTTGTCGGTCTGTTTCATATTTATATAACAAAAGAAATCACTTTTTCTGTTGATTATAAAAATGTAAAATAAGAAACATTTGCCCATATATATTTATATTTTACTTGATTAAAAAAAAATATATATATACATGAGCAATTTTTTCTTATTGCTTTAATTTTTTGTAAAAGAAGCTCTCTCTCTCTAAACGAAAATTATTCTTTTATAATAATTATTTTTTGTTTTCTCATTATTTTTTTTTACTAAATAGTAGATAATATAAAGAAACTTATATAAAAGATGTGACATAAAAAATAAGTAAAATGTGTAAATATTATAAAAGTATGAGTGAAATATGTAAAAAATATGCTATACAACATATTTCTTGCACAACAAATTTATATTTAAAATAAGTTAATTTTTTTATTAGTTAAATAAAAAAAATATGCCCTAACATGTAGATATATTTTGATTCGTCTAATCATAAAAATTACTGAATTTATGGGTCAATTCTAAGCAGAATCGTAAGACTCGTAACGTGTTCTCGTATAAAACTTGTAAGATCTTATGAGTATTCTAATTTTATGCGTATGTATCGTAAGACATACGATTATTCGTAAATATTTACGATTTCTTATAAATTTTATGGCTAGTAAGAAGCCATCTGTAAAAATACCGTATAAGCACTTAAAAATTCTCACAAGTCTTACAGGAATATGTTACGGTCTTACGATTCTACTTAGAATTTAGGCATAATTTACTGAATCAAAATTACTGGCCGAAATTACTGAATCAAATTAGATTTGTTCGCTTGCTGCACTTTTTGCACTTAGCATCTGTGCTTTCTCTCTTTTCAATGTTCAAATATATATTTATCTCATTTTATGTGCAAAAATTTTTGGAGATTTCAAGGAATTTCAAACAACGCGAGTAAACTTATCGTCTTCATAATCAGAGTGCACGTGCAACAAGTAAAAAGGTATGTTATATACATCATCAAAAATGTCATTCAAAATACTATTTCTTTTAATTACATCTTACACGTTTTCGAGATCTGAGAGTACAAAATCACGAAAATGAATTATTTAGATTTATTTCTAAATTATGTACATACCTTGCTGGTGTTGCAATTAATTATTTCGTTTGAGCGATTCCCATTTTTGATTCGTCACGATGCGCGGAAAAAATTCGCTGAAATCCGCGTTCGCTCATTGCTCAGTGCGCACTTCGTCCATTGCGCATTCGCCTTTCTCGAGTCTCCCGACTGACGTTAGCCGCGAGCACTCGCGAGTTACGGCATGGCCGCCATGGGAGCTAATGCCTCGCGTTGCTACACTTGACGTTTAGTTGGAACATGTCATTTTGCAGATTTCATTTTCACAAATGGCAGACACTTTTTTCGGTTTCGATACCACGCTCGGAGTAAGTACGGAAACGTATCGTTCGATCGCGCGCGGCTCGGCCCGTTTTTGTGCGACAATTCCAACAGGACACGCGATCGTGAATCTTTCCCGATAAACAGTCGCGTCGCGGCACATCCGTACTTGCGAGAGCAAGTTTTGTTTTTCCGCCGACACTTGGTAGCCTTGATCTGAAGCAATGCATTTCGCGTATTTGCTTGCCTTCGATTGCATATTGTCCATAGCGCGCCCCCTCTTCCTCTAAAAAATGATAAAATCGTTCCTCCACAGGGTTATATTACGTCGTCTAACCTCATTTGTTTTCGTCATAAGGGTCACTAACATCGAGCATCGCGGATCCCGGTCGAATTTGTTGACAAATTTGCGCGTACCATCTTAATTAAAGTTTCATCAATTTGAGTCTGATGTTGCATAAGAAATATCGTCGCTGCAAAACGTGGCTATGACTTTTGTAATCACTTTTTACAAGTCTTTATTTCTCAAAAATCCTTGCTGATTTTTTTCTTATCTAATTTATGTTATGTTACGTTTGATACTCTTCCACGTTTCAGTAATAATTATTATTCGCTTGATATAATTAGGAGAACAATCTAGAAGATGGTCTGGAATGTCCATTGGAAGAAGATGAACTTGAAGAGGAGTATGATGCGCTGAATGATGAAACATTTGGTCCCGATGCTGCTATTGGTGATTGGGAAGAAGATCATGAGAAACTTGCCGAAATTACTGAATCAAATCGCCTTCATAATCAGAGTGCATCAAATAAAAAGGTATGCTGCCATTCAAGATCTTTATAGCTTTTGTTAGAGACCTAGTGGGCTCTTCTGCAAATATATAGACTATAAGCCATTTATATATATATATATATATACCTAAGCTTTAAATCTTAACAAATTGACCAATCATAGTCGATTATTTTTTTGATATTCAACTATGACTGATCAATTAATTTTTTATGGCTTAAGACTTAAAGCATAAGTAATGGCTTATTGCAGATTGTGTATGTGTGTGTTTAACGCCAGTTCCAAATGATCTATTAGAAGAGGTTATTACGCTTATTCCAAAGTTACTTTCAGTAATTTACTATTGCCTTTCGAGAAGTGAAGATCAAATGAAATCTGATATATATATATATATATATTATAAGTGGATTTGAACCCCTAGGTTTTTGTACAGAGATCAGACGTTCAACTTTTTATATCATAATCATCATACAAGATACTATTTCCTTTACTTACATTTTACAAATTGTTAAAGTTTGATGATATGAAATCATAAGTGTTTAGCTGTCACAAGTTAGATTTATTTTGATAAATTATTAGAGAAGCAAATATAAATTATTTATACATCATAAGAATTTGTCATAAAAGTATCATCATTATTGTTATGCTATAATTGTTATTGGAATGTTACATTTAAAATATTATTTCGAGCTGTTATTTTAAGTTCCATAGAAACAATTCAGCAATTGTTTTTGCAAATAAAAGAATATATACACTCAACAGCAAAATTAAAGTATCATCTATTTTACCCCCCAAAATAGGCAAATTTCAAGATAGTATAACTTGAAATTTCAATTTACGGGTACAAATGGAAATCCGTCAAATCTAAAAATTTTGAACGAACTTTACAAAATTCCATGTCTGAATTAAAAATAGTAAATAAATTCTATTTACAGCTTTCGAAAGAGTGAATCTTTACCTTTAATTTGCTTTTTTATAAAGCTTTGTACAATTTTTTTTGCCGAGTTATTCAACATTGAAGTAAAAGGGATCGTTTTTGCTTCAATGTTGAATAAATTGATTTTCCTTCAAGATGCTTTTACACTAGAAAATTAATTGGTGTACTTTGCTAATGCCGGCGGCACATTCATAAAAAGTTTTTCAAAATGCAATAAAACGGCAAAAAATTGAAAATCATTTTTCAATGAGCTAGTTTGAAGAGCGATCTTTAATTCATGCTAATTTGAGCCGTAAAAAATTTTTTCGCATCTCCATAGAATCGTTTGACTTTGCAAAATTTTCGAGGTTTAAATCCTTGTTGAATTTTCAATTTAATTTTCTAGTGTAAAAGTATCTTGGAGGAAAATCAATTTTGAAAATTAAAAGTAGAGTCTTTTCCCTTAAAAATAAGAGAGAGAAGAGAGAGAGAGAGAGAGAGCCCACGGAGATTATTTTACGAATTTTTTTCACAACGTTACCATAGTTCAAATATCGATAATCTTTTTAGTAAAAATTTGATGATCCTTTAAAAGTTTACAAAGCTCCATGGTGTGAATTAAAAATCACATAAAAATTTGGTTTACGTCTTTCAAAAGCGTGAATCTTTAATTTGGTTTTTTATTAAGCGTTGTATGATCTTTTTTCACGGAGTTATTCAACATTGAAGCAAAAATGATCCCTTTTACTTCAATGTTGAATAACTCGGCAAAAAAAAATCGTACAAAGCTTCATAAAAAAGCAAATTAGAGGTAAAGATTCACTCTTTCGAAAGCTGTAAACAGAATTTGTTTACTATTTTTAATTCAGACCATGGAACTTTGTAAAGTTCGTTCAAAATTTTTAGATTTGACGGATTTCCATTTGTATCCGTATAATTCCGTAAAATGTCAGTCAAATTGAAATTTCAAGTTATACTATCTTGAAATTTGCCTATTTTGGGGGGTAAAATAGATGATGCTTTAATTTTCTGTTGACTGTATATATATACACACACACACACATATATCTGCAATAAATTAATGAAAATATTTTAATAATATTAATAAATGTCTCTTGAATGCTCTCTATTTTAAACTTGTATTGAAATTAATTATATTGTGCCATTTGAATTTTTAAATTAAAATGTAGGTAATGTTGACGCGATAAAACTAATCAAATGTTTTATCCAACAATTATCTGTGACTAGTTCAAAGAAGACAATCGATGAAAATAATCTTTCAACGTAACATACATAAATATCTTGCTAGATATTTTTGTTTATTTTGAACTTTGAAAAGAAATTCATTATTCAGTAATGATATGATTGATTTCATAAATCTTTATATAAATATAACTTGTAAATAATCTTATAACATATTTCATTAAAAGCGTGCTTTTTATTTGTCTTTTTATTATTATATTTAAATTTTTAAACAAATCAATAATTCCATGTATTAAATCTTGAACTTTATATATGCTTTATATTTTTTACAGTCTATTTCTAACATAAATATCGAAGATAATTTATCACATTTGGTATTGGATAAGGAAGGGATAGTTCCCCGACCTGGTGTTTGGGGTAGTCCTTTGAATTTATCTCTTCCAAAAGCTCAGCCACGATTATCTTTACCAAATGCTTGTACGGTGGAAGAGTTGGAAAGAGGGCTTATTGCAAATAGGCCGCCACCAGGTCTCAGCAAACCACAAACGCAACAACAACAGAAGAAATCTGAGGGTTCACTTCTTTTTGAGGCCCTCTCTTTGAACGAGAAACTTCAAGTTAATGGCCTACCTCCACCACGTTTTC